AACTGTAATGGTGGGTTGCGGCACGGACTGAATAACGGTGTTGAACATCTTCTTCCTGGCATCTTCGATCTCCTCCGGTGACCAGCTGATGCCCTGCTTCAACCTCTGCGCAGTGAACCAGATCTTCAGCTGCTCTTCGGGGTACTTCGTCACTACGGTCAAGTAGCAGAGCTCAGCTTTGGTGGGGTAGGGGAACTTGTGGAAAGAGTTTTTGAGGAAGCTGTTGGAGTCCATGGCAGCGTTGTACGTCGGAATGCTGCTCAGAGGGATCATCACCTTGGGAAGAGACTTGGACGTAGGGAGCTGCTGATGCAGCGGGGGTTGCTGCTGCAGTGACACGAGTTGTGCAACACCCGCCTGCAGAACAGGCACATTTCCCAAGATGGAGCCATTCACTATACGAGATGATTTTGTCGAAGTTGCAGTGGGCTGGCTGACCGGCACGGACCCATTTGGAAATGAATGCTCTCCATCTTTCGCCTCCGACTCGCTGCCCAGCTGACTGGACGCATTCTCCTTCAGCGTGTGGATTTTTTTGGCCTCCGGTTTACCTTTCATTATCTTCATGATAGGGGTTTTGGTAATGATAATTTCAGACTGGCTGTCCACCCCTTCTTCAGGGACCTCTCCCGGAAGGTCATGGCTGCTGGTGGCCTCGCAGAGACTTTGCTCCACAGTTGTACGATTGTCCTGCTTAGCCACCCTCCAGACGAAGCTCGTTTCATGGGCGTGTGTCTCTGCATTGTGGTGCGAGAGCCCTTCATGGCTATTTGCCAGAAAGTTGCACGCAACACATGCAAACGCAGGGTCTTTGCTAAAGTCTAAGTGCTCAGAGTCCAAGTGCCCAAAGAAGTGATGAACGTCTTGAGATCCAAAGTCACAAGACTTGCAGATGTAAGTGTCACTATCAGCAATCCCACGGTGCCCATTAGACAAAGCTCCAGTATTACTGTTACCAGCAGCAGCATCACTAGCTGCTGCCCCTTCCGCAGGAGCATCTTGTTGCTTTCCTTCACGATCGTCTTCCACAGCGTCCAGTTCAGTCTCCTGAAGCACCAGTGTTTTTACTGATATCATGCAGGGAGTTGTAGATTTTCTTTTGCTAGCCATCTCTACAGTTGATCCAGAAGATTTTATTTCTTTCAGTTAAATTAAATTCGAATTTAAAAAGCGCTAATGCAAGTGCTCTGTGGTCTAGATTCCAGCAAATTCATGATGTCCCAAGGAGCTGTGTCAAATGTTGACAAATGTTCATATTTGCCACTGAACCTGAGGACAAGGAGAAGGAGGAGGGGTTAGTTCCCTTGGCATTAGACAAAGCATAACTGTCCTGGTCTTTAACTGTTTCACTTGATAAATCGTTTTCAGTCTCTTTCACTGGAAAAATGTAACTTAACCTCAGGTTTATTGTATTTTCACACATAGGACCTGTGAATTACCTGTTTAAAAACAAACACACAAACATGCCTCACTTATAGCCCACATCAAAATCTCTTCTGAAGAGGAAAAACGCCAATATTTCCCCTCACCCTGCCCTGCCAAGACCCATCATCAGTGTTTCGGGAGGCGAGAGCAGTGCCTGGGCTCCCTGTGTGCCTGGGCTCCCAGCTCAGCAGCACACGGTCACCCTGGGAAAGCCGCCTGCTTTCCAGCAGAAAAACCTGATGAAGAAATCAACACGTTCCCCACAGAACATTTCGATTTCTTTCAAAATCTGCATTTTCCAACCATCCTGTTGGGAAGTCTCTTGCCAGCTCAAAGCACTGTGCCCGTTCCAAGGGGCTCAGCCTGCAGAGACACCTGGAGCTCTGCTGCAGGGAGTGAGGAGGCTGCAGCCAGGGCCACGTATTTTAGCCCTCCTCGCTCAGCAAGCCTGCACAGCATTTGTGAGATTCCCTGCCCACCCCCTGTTTTAACAGCATCTGCTGAGTCTTCAGCTGGAGCTGCGAGAGAAGACAAGGCCCCAAAACTCAAGGGCAGCATCACACACATAGTTCCTGGCTCCCAGCCTTTCCCTCCCACCGGCTTTTGGCATTCACACAACTCACTGCAATGGGGTATTTCCTAAGAAAATGCAATTTCTCTGCAACACAAGCTCATCTTTCTGGGCTTGGTGTGACACACAAGAGATCTGTAACACACACACACACGCGCGCACACACGCACACACACGCGCACAAAAAGGGCATTTTAATTTTTTTTTTTCTTTTTCTGAAAGCAGTTCCTGATCTCCTCCATCCCGTGGAAGACCAGAGCTGGCCAGGGCATCATCCACATTCTCATTTCTGGCCTGATGCAGCTTCATCATCTGCAGAGCGGACGCTCCGTGCCTGAGATCACAACCCAAGGGCAGCACCGCTGGCTGCCGGAGCTGGCACCAGGAGTCACTCGCCTGGTGACAGTCCCGATGTCCGGGAAGGCAGCACATCTGAGAGAGCAACATCTCTGCTTTAACCCCTCTGTCAATCTTTTTTACAGCAGCTCTCCTCTTTTTTCCCTTTAAACACTGGGATCAAATGGCATTCTTCCAGACTGCGAGGTCACTTGGAAGCATATGGATGCACTGATTCATATTACAAAGGCTTCGAGCCAGATTTTCTTGGGTTTTACAGTAACGGCGACAGAGCTTTATAAAAACACTCATAAAAACTTGAACTTTAAAAAAAAAAAAAAAGACCAACTTACCATCCTACCAGATGACTCACAGAGGTAACTCCTATCAGTTACAGCAGTTGTGCACCAGTAGCTTTCTCATATCAGATATTCTGAGCTGATCTCATGCACCGAGAAATGCAGATCAGGCAAATGACTTTGTGGTGCTTATGCAATACCTCCTCTGCTTATTTTTGCCAGCAGCTTTTAGAACAGAGGAATGAAAGGTCCTAACGCAAGAAAAATCAGATGGAAGAAGCCCAATTTGACCTCCCTAACTGCAGCAGAAATTTCTGAAAACATCATTCTGAAAGCTGACATCGTTTTTTCCAAACAGGAGAGCCTGGATAGCCGACTCTGGCCTCAGAAACTCTTGGGCACCATTTGAAAGACTGATGGGAAAACGTAACTTCCCGTTAATGTGGGCTGATCTGAGATTACAAAACAGTCCTGTAAATAGTGTTAGTCATCACTGAACTTGGCATCCGAAAAGGCTGCTATGCTAAAGCTTTGTGAAAAGCTAGAAACTATAACTTTAAAAGAACCTCATGAATAAAAAAAGATCTAAAAGCTGTATCTGGATTTAGACAGTGCGAATCACGTGTTCTCAATACCTGCTTTATGCCATTCCCATCCCACCTTTTTGTGGTTACTCTTTGCAGAGGTCCAGAAAGTTATTCATTAGCATTAGCAAGTGGAATACTTGGATGGCTATGAATGGGCTTTGCTATTCAGAGGGGAACAGCATCCATTTGACACCAATTCCAAGATCCTCATTTTTGATGCTAAGTTAAATATTACACAATCTAACAGGGTACTGTGAACTTTCCAAGTCAAGTCAATTAGGAAAAAAACAGTAAGACCAGCCCGAAGGCTACAAAATATAGCTTTAAAGGCTGAAAGGAATTCTGCATCAGGGAAGCAACAGTAAAAAGGAATTCTTATTTTATTCTGCATCTCTAACAAGCCAGGAAGAAAGTGCTGGACCCTCTGCAAGCTTTTTCATTTCCAGCAAACTCCTGACAGAGATTTAGTCCCAGAGTCTCCATTCCTGAGACAGCTCGAGTCCTGGTGTTTACGGAGTCAGCGGGTATCAAAAAGATGATTCTTATCTGTCAATAGAGTAAATTCGATACAGAGCAACCAAGCCACACAAAGACCCCCATTGTGCCACCTTAACAGAGCCTTCACCTGAGCACTCGTCACTCTTACTCTGGGTGAATGTGAACGGCCTGACCCACCTACAGAGAACCTAAAAGCTCTGCATTTCATTTACCAGCACATTTGCATCAAGGTCCCTGCTCTCTCCAACGACTTCTTGTAAAAACGCAATCAAAGCAGCCCCAGCCGCCACAGCTTTCCTGCTGGGGCTCCAATATTAATGCCACCTGAGAACACAGATTGCAAATTTAGCTGAAAGTGAATCACAGTGCCAGTTTACTGGGGAGAAAAATTAATCAAATGTACTGTTTGTCCGTTTCATTTCCACAGAACAGTTGCATAACCACATGTTCAGAGCATGTTTTATTCACTGCTCACCTTCTGGAATGCACTAATACTTTAATACACCACTAATGTATAACAGAATGGATAATTCACTGATTTCTCTGTCATTAAAGTAAGTTTTAATGGATCGGGTAAATTAAAGGCAGACAGATTAATCAGAAAAACAGCCTTACAACGGAGCTCAGTACACCACCACTGCAAATGTCTTGGGCCAATTTGTAGAGCAGTGTGTGAAGAAACTTATTTCCTACGTATCATGTTATGATGAACTGGAGCAAAAAGACATTAGCTGAATGGAACAGCTACCTGGCAGTCAGGAAGACAAAGGGATTGTACTTAAATTGATACTTCCTATTTAATGAACCCTGGTTGGGTTGTGGCTCCCCAACTTTGATGTATGGCTGCGACTGCTTGTCTCCACAGCTCCTGACTTAAAACAGTTTAAAAAATCACCACAGGAAAGATCCACTCTGCGGCAGACAGTTTTATGCCGTTGTCCCACGTTGTGGCTACAAGAACAGCCCGGTTGGTGGCCACCCATCAGTTTCTCAAGGCTTGCGGCTCAGGAGAGGCTCCCGCACTGTCTGGGTCTGCCCGTCTCTGCTCCATGTAGGAGGTCCATGAAAGCCACACACCAGTGACCCATCTGCAGCTTACAGACAAGGAGAAGGAGCACCGTGAGACGTGCGAGGCTGTTATTTCACATAGCCCTAGTGATTCGGAAAATAATAACAGAGGAACATGGAAACTGTGATATCTGGGATCCCGGTCCACGGAAACAGGGCAGCGTTGCTGCCAGAGACAGCCCAAAGCTGCAGTGCTGCTGGGAGCACTCCTCTGCTGCAGCGCTACCCACCCTCCTTCCTCCCCAGCCCAGGAGCCTTCCCATCCTCATCGGCGGGTCCAGGTACACATCACTAACCCTCTGCTGAGCAGCTTTGCCTCCACTGAGGAAAACAATGCTGAGACGGGTCAAAGTGAGCTTAGCAATTTCAGAAAATTTACTTCTGCAGAGATTAACAAAAGGAGGTTTCGAAATCTGCACTGCTGAGTATGAACTTTCAGCTTTTTCCAGCTTGGCTGGATATAACTGGTTTGGTTTTAAATGTTTCAGTGAATTAACGAGTTAGGTTGTTAATGCAAAACATTCATTCCCCGCAGTGCCAAGGTCCCCAGTTAGAAGATTAATTTTTGTGACCTTTTCCAAACCTTGCCTGAAAACAACCACCAGAAAACCCACCAGGCAGCATCACCGGCCAGCCAGCGCACAGCCAGGCACAGCAGCTCCGGTCCCATCGCCCAGGCACCCTCTCTGCCCCCAGACCAGCCACCTCCTGGTGCCCAACGCTCACATGGGGACAAGGCTCCACGCAGACACGCAGGATGGCTACGTGCTTTACCATGGGCTCTGGTGGTTGACGCAGCTCTGCTGAAGAGAGAATGCTCAGTTGAGATAAAAAAATTTTTTAAAAAATCAACACCAAAATAGAAGTAAAATAACCGTTTTCTCAACACTTTTGGTGCCTGCTAGGCAGGCAGACACACTCACCAGGTCAGAGACAAAGTTGATGTTTCTGATTCATATGAAGCCAAGCACAATATTGGCACTTTAAATAACAGCGGTTTGTTTTTAAACTGAAACTCTGCGGGCCCCAACTGATAGCATAATATGGGGGTGAAAAAAAGAGGAAAAAAAAATCAAAGGAGGAAAAGAAATATTGACATTTGAGAGTTTTTGTCTGTCCCTTTTAGGCTCTACGTCCAGCCAGGTCCAGAGGATGCACGTCTGTCTTTGGGAAGCCCACAGATGACTTCCCAACTCCGTACCAGTAATTAGTACGGTAAAGGCCAGTAAATAGAGGATCCCTGTGGCCAGCACCAACAAGTGGGTCCCCTCTGCAGCACTCAGATCCAAGCTGATCTGCCTTCCCTGGCAGTGTTCAAGGCCAGGT